GATGGGATGGGATGGGATGGGATCCATGGGATGGCATGGGATCCATGGGATGGGATGGGATGGCATGGGATCCATGGCATGGGATCCATGGGATGGGATGGGATCCATGGGATGGGATCCATGGCATGGGATGGGATCCATGGCATGGGATGGGATCCATGGCATGGGATGGGATGGCATGGGATCCATGGCATGGGATCCATGGGATGGCATGGGATCCATGGGATGGGATGGTCGGCACTGCACGGCACAGCACGGCACGGCACGACATGGCAACACTGGGTCTGCTTCAGGTTCAGGGAGCCACTGGAAATAGATTCAGTCTCAACTCAAGGGGCAAAAACTCACACCAGGCAGGGTGATCTGTGCCTCGTCCCCATCCTGCTCCCAGGGGATTCTCCGTGGCTGCTGCAGGTGCTCGGTCACATTGTAATGCTTGGGAGCAGCGCTGTGAGAGCCTGGAGGGACCCTCTGCCCCAGCCAGCCCTGCTGAGCACAAGGGTCCATCTGGCAGGGCTGATGAGGGGCATTCTCCTCTGCTTCATCTCCCTTTCTCTGCAGCAAAGGCCTTGCTGAGCCACCAGGGGCAGGGAATTCTCGCTGTGGGAGCTGGTTTGAGCTCTGGCTTCTTGGCAGCTCTGAAAGGGTGGGCATGCCATGTCCCTGGATGACACAGGGTGTGTGTGGTGGTATTCAGTTGAAAGCTGAACTTGATGATCCTGGAGGTCTTTTCCAACCTTTCCCATTCTGTGATGCAAGTCAGTATTTCAGGTGGGCTTCTTACCCAGCGAGACCACAAATGGCAGGAGCTGGAGGCTCTTTCCAGTTAACACAGAGCTGTGAACATGGAGATGGAGTTCCCAGGGCTGTAATGGCTCTGGGGAAATGTAAACAGCTGCCCTGGGTCCCTGGGCATCCAAATACATCTCCACAGAGAAATGGCTGAGATTCCTCAACAGCCTTTTAGATTTATATTCCCCCAGCAGTGTCTGGAGTGGCTGCTGAACAGATGCTTGTCATAAAATATGGTGAGTGGAAATACCTTGTCCTGGTCCTCGTGAGGGTGACTTGCAGCAGAGGATTTAAAGCTGAAAAAGCAAATGGTGTCCAAGTGTTTTTAAGAGGAAATTCTTTCCTGCCATTCCTGCACTGAGGTTGTACATGTAAAGAGCAGTTTTCATTTTCAGTCCTTATTGGGTAATGTCTCCCCTCTGCCATGGTCTGTAAATGTGCTTCTGACTTTGAATCCAGTGACACAGTAAAGATTTGCACTATTGCAACAAAACACTGCATTTTAAGATAAAAAATCACCAAAAAAGGAAGGTTTCCTTTAAACATATCAATAAGTCATCCTAGCAATGAGGGTTTACTTAGACTGCAAGTTTGTCCTTTCAGATAAATAAATACATAACTGTGATGTTATTCTCCTTAGTTTGAAGCATCATTTCTCTCAAGGCACCAGCTGGGAAATGGAGCAGCTTTCACAGCAGTGGCAGATCCACTGGGCCAGCCCAGGGCGTGGGGAAGGAGTGGGGCTGGTGGCCTGCTGAGCACAGACCTTCACCACCTCATCTTCCTCCACATCCCTCTGCCTGTCTGTCCCACGAGGCCAGTGTTCTCCACAGACACAGAATCCTTACCCCTCCAAAACAGGGAGCTCCTCTGGTGTTCCAAGTCACTGCCCTGGAATCAAATCAAATCCTGAGGCAATTGATCCAAATTAGTCATTGTTCCCAAAATCCTGAGGCAGCAATGCAGGGAGTGCTCAGAGTGCTGGTGCTGTCTGGGAGCTCCTTCCCTGGCACTGCAGAACAGCAGCTGGGGATGAGCAGGATGGGAAAGCTAAAGAGAACAGGACACTTTTTTGGCCAACACCTCTGGTAATTCAGCTAATAAAGTCTTTACTCCTCTGCCTGCACGATGGAGATGTAAAAGGAGCACCAAGCTGAAATCCCACCCCAAATTTTAAGAATCTGTTCTTTGTAGTGTGCAAATAGCAGGATATGGAGGTTACACAATGCTTGGGAAAAGCCCCGTGAATAGTTTTTCCCCGTGAATAATTTCCACAGAAAGAAACAGCAAAATAAGTTGTTTTTTTAACAGTTCTTGTTGGCAAGAAACTTGATCTCAGGGTTGGAAACTGCCGTGTTTGTTCTTGCTTCAGATCCTGCAAGATAAGCAGGGCTGGGCTGCTGGCTCTGTGGCTTTGGGGGCTGCAGGGGCTGTGTCTGGGGCTGCCCCCAGATGTGGTGCCCCAGGAGGCACTGGGGGCCAAGGGAAAAGCCTCGGTGCCCTCTGCCCATCCCACCCCCGTGGGCTGTGCCAGCTGCTCCGAGCCCTGCTCCCTCAGCCAGACCAGGAATTTGTGGCAGTGCTCACAAATGTGTCTGCAGCCCTCGGTGGTGGAAGGAGCAGTGTCAGCACTCGTCTCCCCTTTCAGCTGCACAGAGCAGCCTGGCCAGGAAACATTCTGTCCCTGGCACTGCCTCTTCTCTCCAGCCTGGATCTCCTGGGAAACTGGCAGTGCCCACCAGCATGGTGGAAATGGGGCAATGTCATGGGCTGACTTTACATTTAAGATAATTTCAGATAATTTCAGCCGCTGAAATCCCGGCCGAGGGAGGGACCAGGCGATGGTGAAACGCGTGGGGTGCTGGAAAGATCAGAGAAAGCAGAGAAAACCACCTGGTGCAGATGTCCCCTGGCCTCTGCTGTGGAACAGGAGGGAGGAGGGGAAGGAAACTCAGTGCAGTGTCCCAGCACCGCTGTGTGAGCTGGGGAAAGGGCTGGCAGTGCTGGGAATTGTCCCTTTTCTATCCCTGCCCCATCCCCGATGGCCTCCTGCAGCTCAGGGGCTGTCAGTTCACTTTGACACTGAGAAACCTTGGCTTTGTGTCTCCTCCTGAGCAGCTTGGGCAGGTGGAAGGTGTCTATGCCCATGGCAGGGGTCAGAACTGGGTGATCTGTGAGGTGCCTTCCAACCCAAACCATTCTATGTTCTATTACCATACCACTGTGTGCCCAGATCTGTACCCAGCTCTGTGCCCAGCTCTGTACCCAGCTCTGTGCCCAGCTCTGTACCCAGCTCTGTGCTCAGCTCTGTACCCAGCTCTGTACCCAGCTCTGTGCCCAGCTCTGTACCCAGCTCTGTGCCCAGCTCTGTGCCCAGCTCTGTACCCAGCTCTGTACCCAGCTCAGCTCTGTACCCAGCTCTCTGTGCTCAGCTCTCCGTGCCCAGCTCTGTACCCAGCTCTGTACCCAGCTCTGTGCCCAGCTCTGTACCCAGCTCTGTACCCAGCTTTCTCTGCTCAGCTCTTTGCTCAGCTCTGTACCCAGCTCTGTGCCCAGCTCAGCTCTGTACCCAGCTCTCTGTGCCCAGCTCTCTGTACCCAGCTCTGTACCCAGCTCAGCTCTGTACCCAGCTCTCCATGCCCAGCTCTCCATGCCCAGCTCCGTGCCCAGCTCCGTGCCCAGCTCTCTGTGCCCAGCTCTGCACCCAGCTCAGCTCTGTACCCAGCTCTCCATGCCCAGCTCTCCATGCCCAGCTCCGTGCCCAGCTCCATGCCCAGCCCGGTGACCGCTGCCCTCTCTTGCAGCTCTGTGAGAAGTGCCAGCAGCCGGTGCCCGGGGACTGTCCCGTGGTGTACGCCGACCGTGCCGGTTACTCCCGGCAGTGGCACCCGGCGTGTTTCGTGTGCTGCCGCTGCGCCGAGCCCCTCGTAGACCTCATCTACTTCTGGAAGAGCGGGGCCACCTGGTGCGGGCGCCACTACTGCGAGAGCCTCCGGCCCCGCTGCGCCGGCTGCGACGAGGTAGGGACCTGCTGAGACTGTGACCCCTGTGAAACCCCCCTGTGCCAGGGCACAGAGTGACCAGAGTCCCTGTGACCCCCTGTGCCAGGGCACAGAGTGACCAGAGTCCCTGTGACCCCCTGTGCCAGGGCACAGAGTGACCAGAGTCCCTGTGACCCCCTGTGCCAGGGCACAGAGTGACCAGAGTCCCTGTGACCCCCTGTGCCAGGGCACAGAGTGACCAGAGTCCCTGGGCCAGGGCAGGACCAGCTGGAGACCTCTGATCCCACTAGTGGCACCACCCCGTGGCCCTCTGCTCCTGCCACTGCCAGGCTCAGTTGGGGCTTCTGTGCACCCTGGGCTAGTGGAAGGTGTCCCTGCCCAGGGCTGGGGGTTGGCACAAGGTGACCTTTACAGATCCCTTCCAACCCCAAGCATCCTGTGATTATTTTATGTACCCATTCCTGACCCCACGGCTGATGGGCTTGCTGGGAGGTGTGGGGCTGGTTCTCCCCGCTCCTGCCACGCTCCAGCTTGGGGGGGAGGTGGAAATAAGCGGCTGTGTGTCCGTGTGTCTGTCCTGTAGATCATCTTCTCGGAGGACTACCAGCGGGTGGAAGGGCTGGCCTGGCACAAGAAGCACTTTGCCTGCCTGGAGTGTGAGACGCTGCTGACGGGCAAACCCTTCGCCCTGGCCAACTCCAGCCTCCTGTGCACCACCTGCAGCCAGAGCAGGGTCTGAGCCCCTCGGGCTCCCCGAGGTCCCACCAGGACTGGGGGCATTTGGAAACACAGGAGAAGGGGAAGGTTAAAAATTTAAGAGTCTGACCATTCACACACAAGCAGCTCCGTGTCCCCTTGCATCCAGCACAGCCTGAAGAAGGAATTTCCCCGGGGTCCTCTGGGATCTGCCAGGGAGCCCTTGTGCCCACGGGTGGGAGGAGCACGGTGTACCTGGCCAGGAGGAACTGGAAAGGAGGGGCTGGGCTGCACTGGCTTCTATCAAGTCTGTCCAACCTTCTTATGACTAAGATCCTGCAATAGTCTTTTGGAAATAACCCATCTCAACAGTAACTTCTGGCATACTAAACCTACAGTTGTGGTCAAAAACAAGGGCTGTTTGTGGTTTGTAAATCTTTCCTGGAATTAGGCTGACAGGCTGCTGCCACTGTGCCAAGGCAGTGGGCTTGAGGAATTTGATCAATTTGCTGAAAGCAAATGATAGAAAATTGCAGCTACACGTGGCTGGGGCTTTGTCCTGTGCAACGATGCAAAAGCAAGGAGTGGGCACACAGGGCAAGGGGTTCACCCTGGTGAGAGGGGCAGGGCACGGCTTTGCCTGGTCAGAGACTGACTCAGCCCATGGAGCTGCCACCTGCAACTGGAATGGAAAGAATTTTCTGGAAAACAGCTTTACAGCCTATGCTGTCTTGGGGGGGCAGAGTGTGTGTGTGTGTGTCCCTGAGATCCTGCAATGCCACTTTTTCCCTGCAATTCTTCAGTGACCCTTCCAAGTACCAAGGAGCTGTTCCTTGCCCTGGGAGCCAGCAGCTCCTTGTCCTGGGCTCTGCCCTGTTCCTTGCCCTGGGCTCTGCCCTGTTCCTTGGGCTCTGCCCTGCTCCTTGCCCTGGGCTCTGCCTGTTCCTTGCCCTGGGCTCTCCCGTTGCCTCTCAGGTCTGGCGCTATCCCAGGGTCTGGCACTGAGTCCCTGTGGGTCATATTTGTTCCCTACATCAGGTGATGCTTCTGACACTCCCTGAAAACACCAGGTAGCCCAGGCTGGTGTCTGTGCTCAGTCTGCTCCATGCTGAGCATTGACATCATTTGCCAGAGAAGTGGAATATGTCTTTGTGGGTAACCCTCCCCTGCTTGGGGAGCTCTGGGGGAAAATGGGATCCCCTTCCACCCCGGGCAGGGTTAAAATCCAGCTGTTCCTGCTGCAGAGGAATGTGGTGAGAGCTTGGGCAAATGGCAGAGCAGAGGCACAGGGAGAGGAGGGCTTTTGGGGGAGCACTGGGCTGGCCCTCTCCTCTCCCCCAGCCTGGCAGGGACAGGGCTGGGTCATCCCCAGCACCCTCCCTGCCCTGGTCTCTGACAGGAGCGGGGACAAGTTCACCTTATGGACAATGCAAGACTCCAGGAGACCTTGTAGATTCCTTCCAGAGCCTACAGGGGCTGTGAGAGCTGCACAGGGACTGTGGACAGGGGCTAGTGGCAGCCCACTGCAGCATGTTCTGAGTTCTGATTTTGTGATCTATAAATTATAATTCACAGAAGTCCCTGTTCCAGCACACACTTACTCACTTCAGGCTTTTGGGACTGCTGGCACCTGCTCAAGCCTTGCAGGTATTTCTGCAGCTCGTAAAATACTGTCTGCTAAAGAAATTTACTGCAATTAAACAGCTTAACAAAATCCTGTGCCTCTCCAGTGTCGGGAGCAAAACCGTGAAATTAATGCATCAAACAGCTCAAAACATATGGGAGCCTTTAGTGTTGATATTAGAACTGAAATTCAGGGCAGGCATGAGATGATCCTGCCCCCAGCAAGGACAGATTTGAACTTGTGGGGCTGCAAAGGACAAAACCCTTCATGTCCTGTCCATGGCCAGAGCACAGGGAGTTTGTGCCTCCTGTCTGAGCACCCAGCTCCAATTTAAACTCAAGCTTTCTGCATAGTTGTTTTAAATATGACTGACAATACATTTAAATGTTCCTAAAGCTTTAAATAAAGTATTTTTGGATACAAAAATCCTTCACCTGCTCCCCCACTGCCCACCCAGCCAGGAGCAGGGGTAGGGGAGGGGAAGAGCAGAGCCTCCCTGCACAGAAATAACCACTGACTGGGCAGAAGCCACATTTCAGCTGAGGTTTTTCAAGCTGAAGTTTTTCAGGGCTTTACTGCTCTGAATCTGCAAATATTTGCAGTGCTGTCTCACTTGTGGTTCCCCCCTTTTTTTAAGCAATATTCCAGGCAGAGAAAGAGCCCGTCTGTCTGTGATGGGGAGGTGGAAGCAGGGCAGAGTGGCTGCATGTGGGTCACCTCCTCCCCACAAACCCCAACACCAGGGCCATCCCCAGCTGGCCAGAGGAGGGACTGGCCCCAGCCAGGGAGGTTTCTGTGCTCTGCACCTCAGCACCTGAGCTTTGGGAGCTTCACCTGCCAAGGTGGGCAGGAAAGGCAGCAGTGAGCGCTGGCTGGAGCGATGCTGGTGCACACCCCGAGGGGAGGGAGGGAGGGGAGAGCCCCTCATTGCTGCTTCCTGTGTCTATTTGTAACATTCAGGCCAAAACAAACAATTAAAGTTGCAATTCAATTTCTCAGCTCCCAGTGACAGTAAGTCACTGTTAGAGAGCTGTCACTCCAGGGCCAGGGTCACCAGAGGAGGCCAGCAGAGGAAGCTGGTTGGCATCTCAGCAAGGCTCACCCCCAGCCCTCGTGGGGCACAGGAGGTGTGGGGAGCCTGGAGCCAGCTCTGCAGCCCCTGGACCCTGCAGAAAATCCTCATGCAAGGGGAAGAGCTGAGTGGGCTCTCTGTGCCTGCAGTGCTGGTGCTGGGGGGAGAGCAGAGCCCTGGGCTGGGGGTTTGGGCTGATGGTGCTCAGGCTCTGGTTTTATCATTCCAGGCCAGAAAACAATCAGCCTTCTCCTTTACAGTTTGTTTCCAAAATAACTCTGCTCGGAGACTTCTGCGGTGAACTGATGCAGACCTGATTTATTGGAGTGGATGGGACTCTTGTTATTTACCTTGGTGGTAACAAACAGCCACAGAAAAGTTGTTGATTCTGGGTATAACTCAGTGAGAACCTGATCCTGGGGTGAACGACAACTGCCTTAAACAGAAACTTTTAAGGGGCTTTATTAGGCAGTCAATTCTTTAAAAAATGTGATTTCAGATACCTGTAACTAATAAACCTCAAAATTCAGTGGCTGCAGGAGAGAAAAACATAAACCAAAGGCAGAGCGAGTTGGCTGTATAAACACTACAATAAAACTTGCTTAAAAGCCCCAGAGAGAAAAATTTAGAGGTGAAAAAGCAAGTATTCATGAGGTGTGGGTGGAAACTTCCTGAGACCTGCAGCAGCTGCTGCTTTAGGGCAGAGCTAAAGAAAGCCCATATGGCTGTGTGTTCTTCTGTAAAAGGTGAGGTTATGTTTATATAAACCTAATTTGAGCTTTTATTTACTTCTCAACTCCCTTTCTTCAGCTAAATCACCAAAAAATCACCCTCTCCACAGTGAGGGTTTTGTAGATCATTGCCTGATTTCAAAAAATGTTACAGGAACTTCTAAAATCCCCTGGAGCAAACCAGGAACAAGAGGAAGTACATTTATTGTGGCTCCAGGGAAGGATTGGTGCCAGCCAGGCCCTGTGTCTGCCCAGCCTGGGGCCAGTGTCACCGTGTGCCACAGGCCCGGGGCTGGCAGCAGGAGCCTGTCCCCTAAAGTCCCCTCTGTCCCCTAAAGTCTCCTCTGACCCCTGAAGTCCCCTCTGACCCCTGATATCACCTCTGTCCCCTAAAGTCACCTCTGTCCCCTAAAGTCACCTCTGTCCCCTGAAGTCCCCTCTGTCCCCTAAAGTCTCCTCTGACCCCTGAAGTCCCCTCTGTCCCCTGATGTCACCTCTGTCCCCTGATGTCACCTCTGTTCCCTAAAGTCCCCTCTGTCCCCTGAAGTCACCTCTGTTCCCTAAAGTCACCTCTGTCCCAGGGCTCTGCTGCCTGCCCAGCCCAGGCCAGTGCCAGAGGAGGTGTCTCAGGGAGCTCTGTGTGTGGACACACCTCCCTGAGACACCTTCCCAGTTTGGGTTCTGTCCCCAGTTTGGGTCCTGTCCCCAGTTTGTTTCCTGTCCCCAGTTTGGGTTCTGTCCCCAGTTTGGGTCCTGTTCCTGTTCCCAGTTTGGGTCCTGTTCCCAGTTTGGGTCCTGTCCCCAGTTTGGTTTCTGTCCCCAGTCTGGGTTCTGTTCCCAGTTTGGGTTCTGTTCCCAGTTTGGGTCCTGTCCCCAGTTTGGTCCTGTTCCCTGTCCCCAGTTTGGGTCCTGTTTCCTGTTCCCAGTTTGGGTTCTGTTCCCAGTTTGGGTTCTGTTCCCAGTTTGGGTTCTGTTCCCTGTCCCCAGTTTGGGTTCTGTCCCCAGTTTGGGTCCTGTTCCCTGTCCCCAGTTTGGGTCCTGTTCCCTGTTCCCAGTTTGGGTTCTGTTCCCAGTTTGTTTCCTGTTCCCAGTTTGGGTTCTGTCCCCAGTTTGGGTTCTGTTCCCAGTTTGGGTCCTGTCCCCAGTTTGGGTTCTGTTCCCAGTTTGGGTCCTGTTCCCAGTTTGGGTTCTGTTCCCTTGCTGTCAGCTCTCCTCTCCCCAGGAGCTGTGGTTTGGCACAGGAAAGAGGCTGTGGCCTGGGAAGAGCCACAGAAGGATCCCAGTCCCAGGGCTGTGTCTGCCCCACGCAGCCCCTGCCGCTGGGGAAGCGCTGGGCAGTCACAGGCAGGGGAACAAAAAGGTTTCATTTTGGTTTGTGGCACGGGCCTGTGTGCAGGGGCTGCAGGAAGCACAGACACAGCAGCTTGGCTCTTTATCCCTTTAACAAAAGGGGTAAAACTCCACACCAAGATGAGCTTTAAGGTCTTTCCCAAGCAAAAGCATTCTGTGATTCCAGGATCCCCTGCCTGTCGCAGCCCTAAGGTCTTCCAGCTGCAGGAAGGGCCATCCCAAAGCCTTTGTGAAGACACCTCAACATTAGGCACAGTCAGTTTATCAAGATTAGTTAATTAAAGGCCCCTTGTTATTAATTTGGAGATTTCCAGAATATCTTCAGTCCCTGCAAAGTCACCAGAAAAGAAAAATTGCCACAAGAAGTTTTCCTTGGATTAGACAAGTGACCTTTCTTGCCCGAGCGGCTCCGGAGGCTCCCGAGGGTCCCAGCTGAGCAGCCCCACGGCCCCGAGCGCTCACAGGGCAGCTCTGCAGGCTCTGTCAGGCTCAGGAAATTTATCTAGGCAGTCCCAAGGGAAGGTCTTGGCAAAGCATTAATGGCCTTTTATAAAAGACACCTTTATTCCCTGTCCCGTGTCAGTTCAGCTGCTGGGGTGTCTGTGCAGAGCCGATCCCCAGCCCTGAGCTGCAGGGGAACTCACTGAGCCCTGGTGGAACATCTGCAGCAGCAGCAGCAGCACGGTGAGCACCCTCAGCTGGTGGGAACCTCCTGATGGGAACCACTTTGTGTGCTCAGCACCACGGGCACCTGGGAATTCTATGCTGGTTCCACCGGGAATGAGCCGGGACAGAGCTGCAGAGGAAGAGCCCACACAGAAAACCCGTGTGAATGGAGGGCTGGCAGTAACCCACACACCCTGCACTGACGCTGGGGCTGCAATCCCAGCTAGTTCTGAGCTATCAGATTCAGAGCCATGTCTGTGAGCCCCAGTCACAGATCTCCAAAAGAGATCCCAGTTCTGGGAAAACAAATTCCAAATTGTTAAGAAAAAACACATCTGAGACACTTCAATTAACGGCAACTCTCATGTGGCCTCAGATTTGTCTCAGAGCCTCCCCCTCTAGATTTTTCTCCTTAATCCTAAAATGAAATTCAATTTATTTCATATGTTCTTAGTTCCTAAACAATTATTGTACCCTTGCAGTCACTTGTAGGGCCTTTTTCTCCTTCCCACATGGAAGAGTCATTTCCTTGTTTTCAGTCGTGCAGGACAAGCATGGCCAGCTGATGTCTTCACCATCTGAGTGCTTCCATGTCAAAAATAGATGCAAGAAGTCAAGGGAACTCCAACCCCCATGGAGTTACCAAAGGGATGAGCACAATTCCTGCTGCTGCTTCACAAATCCTGCCTCAAATGGAGATTTTCCTTATGCTTTTCCACATAAATAGTATAGAAAATAAGAACTAGAAATAATGTCTAAAATTCTGAATTAGTGTCCTGCGGTGCTGTGCTGCAGCCCTGGCCCCTGGTCCTGCTGTCCCCAGCTCTGTCTGGGACAGGACCCCAGCCCTGCTGTCCCCAGCTCCCCCAGGACAGGACCCCAGCCCTGCTGTCCCCACAGCAGCCCCTGACAGGGTGATGGCCTGGAAGCGACTGCCTGCTGGGTGATGTCACTGGCATCACATAGGGAAAGGCCAAATAAGGCAGCAATTTAGGGAAGATGTGTCCTAAAATGGGAGCTGGACTGATGACCAGCAAGCACTGAACACAGGGATGATATTACCATGGTGAGAACCCTGAGCCAGCGCAGTCCCAATGCTGGAAAAATCCCTCCAGGATGTGGAAAGATGAGAGAAAATGAGAGAAAATGAGCCCAAGTCAGAGCTCTCTCCTCCCCAAACGCAGGCAGGGCACGAGGTCAGCGTGGGAAGGATCCCAGTGCTGCGAGAGATGGACACATCAGTGCCGTGAGAACTCTTTTCCTGGGAAGAGATTGTTTTTGGGGAGTTCCTTCTGCATGATTCTGGCTTTTCAGCACAGAGCAACGAACCTGTTGTGGGCAATAGAAGAAATGTGAATTTAAAGGGGTTTGAAGCCAAGCAGGGAGGAAGCTGGACCGCGCTGCAGAAGGGGGAAGCGGCATGGAGCCTACAGCAGCCCCAGGGCTGGGCAGAACTGCTGGGAGCTGCTGGGCTCAGTGCAGCTCCTGGCACGGAGGAGCTGTTTGGGGGGTCCTGGTGTGCTCAGCAGCCTGGGGAAGGATGGGGCTGCAGAGGGATTCCACAGCCAAATCCACT